TACACACACATACACACACATACACACACATACACAAGAAATATTTACACACAAACACACATGCACATCAGCATACACTGGTGTGATGATACTGAGTTTCATCTAGTGTTGCCATCCACAGATCTGTACGCACAAGTAATGGCTCTGAAGTCTGTGAACCCCGAGCTGAAAGTGCACCTTGCAGTGGGAGGTTATTCCATGGGAACCTGGCCATTTGAAAGCATCACAGCCTCAATGAGCAACATGGAGACGTTTGCTGGGAACGCCGCCTCTTTTCTACGTACTCATGGCTTTGACGGCCTGGATTTGGATTGGGAGTTTCCAGGCGCTTCCTTCAGAAGCCAGTTTTCCCAGCTGTGTGAAGCTCTGTTCCAGCACTTTAGTGTAGAAGCTCAGGCATCTGGCAAGCCCCGCCTGCTCTTGACCGCTGCTGTGTCCGGTTACAAGACAGAGATAGAGGCATCATATGAGCCACAGATCATTCAACAGTAAGTCTTAGTTACTTGATGCTTCGTCTCACTCCATATCCACCAAGACAATAATAGTTTTCATGGTATTGTGTAGAAGAATAAATGAGTTTGTTGAAAAAGCAGCCAAAACAAGACATGTGAAGTGTCTCAAACTACAATGATGTTTTTAAGAACCCACCCCCTGCTCCTTCCACACACACAGACACAAGTACAATTATGAAGCTAGAATAGGACTGACTGCGAGATGAATTTGAAGGACGTTAGTAGGAAACTGAGACGTGCCTTTCTTTGTAATTGTCTGGTTGTCAGTATCCGTGCGTGTTAAGCTGTTGCTCATGCCGTTTGCCCCAATCTGTGATAGCTGGACTGGAGCTCTTGTGCCACTGTTTGCCCTCAGGTACTTGGACCACGTGTATGTGATGGCCTACGACTACTATGGCTCTTGGTCGCTCACACTGGGACATCAGAGTCCTCTGTACGTGAGAGACGAAGACCGACACGACCCCACGGAATCTCTGCTTTCTCAGGTAAGTCTATAGCACATATATGTTGTGTGACCTACACACGTGTGAAAGATTTTGTCTGTGAATGGCAGGGTTTTGGACAGGTGTTGTGTTGTAGGTAAGTTTTTGTGGCGGTTTTGTAATTAAAGAAGAGACTGGCGGTTTGGAGTGCAGGGTTGGTGGGGTGTGAATAATGAGACGTAGAATGAGGAGTGTGTCTGTTGTGAGAGTGTTGCGAGCCTCCAGACTTGTCCTGAGCATGTCCGTGTTCCTGTTCCGTGTCTCAGAATGCTTCCATGACCTGGTGGCACGAGCTGGGTGTACCCAAGAATAAACTGGTGATGGGAGCTGCCACCTACGGGCGGACCTTCCGGATGTCGGCTGCTGACCAGTGGCATGTTGGAGACCAGTCTCTTGGAGGTGGCGATGTGGGACCATACAGTGCTACACCGGGATTCCTGGCGTACTATGAGGTGAGGGAATAGTCAGGGTATGTTTTATTGTAGGTGTACTGTTCTGTGGTCATAAATGAGCTAATGACGCCATTGGCGCTGTACAGCGAAATTAATTGAATTTGGTTTTAGTGAGCTTTTCTTCTTGGGTGGATTTGTTTTTTTGGTTTTGGATTTGTTCTTTTTTCACTGAAGACTAATACGTACTTTAACAGGATAATCAGCATTCATGCTCTTGATTTTCAGAACACAAAAGTAGAAAAAAAAATCAATTTTGTCAGTCCCATCGTCTTCTGCTCCAATGGGTCGTACCATTCACGTTTTCAGCACATTTGCTTGGCATTCTTCATTTGTTTTTTCTTTCTTCCAAGGGCCATCAGCTCTAAACCTCATGGACAACTCACTATTGTTACATTCATCAAACTCATTGTCTCCCCAGATTTGTGACATGATCATGAGCGGCACCTTGAACAGAGTGTGGATGGACGATTCCAGAGTACCTTTTGCCTACGGTCAACGCAACTCGCACTGGGAATGGCTTGCCTACGACGATGTACAGAGCATGACTGAGAAGGTAAGCTCCGTCTGACTCAGAACTATACGTGCAGTAGGTTACGTACGTACCGACTTTCACACACAAACACAGTCCTCACAGTGAACACAGAACACAGGCATAAACAGACACACACACACACACACACACAAACACACACACACACACACACACACACACACAAATATGCCTGCATACACTCACACACACACACACATGCATACGTACATGCACACTCACACACACACATGCATACATACACACACACACATACACACAAACTCACACACACACACACACACACACACACATACATACATACATACATACACGCACACACAGTCACATACACACAATGACACACATATTACACACCCAGGCATATTACACATCCGCACCCATGAAGTCAGTTGTTGCTGTGTGATGGCTTCAGCGAGTTCTATAAACAGACTACACTGTGAGCCGTCTTCCCATTGGTCCACGGTGAGTAGAAACAAGACTGTCAAGAAAGATGGTAAGTGAAGGTGAAAAAGAAAACAGAAGAAGTGTGTACAGGTGTCCACTCAGGCGTCCCGTCTCTGTTCACAGGCTGCGTACATCGTAGCTGAAGGTTTGGCCGGTGCCATGTTCTGGACTGTGGACTTTGACGACTTTGCAGACCAAGTGTGTGGGGAAGGTCCCTACCCTCTGATCCAAGCTATGAAGGCGGGCCTGTGGAGTCCTGGAAGTCAGCCGCTGACCTTGAGCCCAGCTAACGCGAGCTTGCCATCTCCTCAATCACCCACATGGTCGCCATCTTCTACGTCCAGTAGCACGGACATCATGAGTGGCGGGCACAGCTCAACGGCCACCCCGGGTAGGTCCAAAGTGTGAGAACCTTATCTGGCAAGTTTCAGTGTAGCTCTATCCTGAAGCCAACTGCCAGCCAGATGTAAATTCCTACTCTGAGAGCATCTCTAAACTCTCATAGTAGGTTTGGTTATAGTAGGATCTCTGCCTGGCACCGTGAAAGCGTTATGTTTCTTTCATGGTATTTTACCGTTTTTAGAGAGGTGGCCTGGAAAGTCTTTGAGAGTCATATGCACACTTAACTTAAATGCACAAATACATACATAGATGAGCATAACATGGCAGCAGAAATACTGAAAAGTCAGGAATTATAATGGCTGCTCTAATGAGTTTAAGTCATTTAGCTTTCAGTCATAGAGAAGTGCATGATGGAATGTGTCACACGGGTGCTTCTCGGCCCGAAGTTTCTTTATAGACACACATGTACTGATTCATCAAAGTATTCGGACTATTGCTATCTTCTATCTACTAAAGCTTATGTTGGTTGTCTCTCTACGTGTTTCCTAAAACCGACAAGAAAAAACATTTCCCTGGAGAGTACTAAAGAGAATGCATCAGTAAAGATAATGATAAATGTGTGTACAATCTTGCCAGTAACAGAGTGGGAGCCTTGAAGTTGTGGAAATGTCAATGTTTCGTGCACAGTGTGTAAAATATCTTGTGTTCCTCGCAGGTGTCCATCATAATGAAAGCCATCACGTGATCGCCTGCTACTTTACCAACTGGGCCCAATACAGACCTGGTTTAGGCCTATACTCAGTGGCTAACATTGACCCCTACCTTTGTACGGACATTGTGTACGCTTTTGCCTACATCGACACAGCCAGTCTGACCCTGACAACCGTAGAGTGGAATGATGCAGGTAGGTGTCTTACGTATTAGCTAAAAGATCATTTCGCTAAGAACATTCACATGCACAGAAACACACCCACATATAAATTACACACACATTACACACACGGACATTGTCAGACACACACCAACACACTGACAGGTGCACAGTCTTTCTCTTTCTAATGAATTCTTGCGTTCCCCCCTTCACAAAATACACACACACACACACACGCACACACACACACACACACACACATACATACACACGTAACACACACACACACACACATACACACACGTACACACACACATACACACACATACACACACACACACAAGAAATTTTTACACACAAACACACATGCACATCAGCATACACTGGTGTGATGATACTGAGTTTCATCTAGTGTTGCCATCCACAGATCTGTACGCACAAGTAATGGCTCTGAAGTCTGTGAACCCCGAGCTGAAAGTGCACCTGGCAGTGGGAGGTTATTCCATGGGAACCTGGCCATTTGAAAGCATCACAGCCTCAATGAGCAACATGGAGACGTTTGCTGGGAACGCCGCCTCTTTTCTACGTACTCATGGCTTTGACGGCCTGGATTTGGATTGGGAGTTTCCAGGCGCTTCCTTCAGAAGCCAGTTTTCCCAGCTGTGTGAAGCTCTGTTCCAGCACTTTAGTGTAGAAGCTCAGGCATCTGGCAAGCCCCGCCTGCTCTTGACCGCTGCTGTGTCCGGTTACAAGACAGAGATAGAGGCATCATATGAGCCACAGATCATTCAACAGTAAGTCTTAGTTACTTGATGCTTCGTCTCACTCCATATCCACCAAGACAATAATAGTTTTCATGGTATTGTGTAGAAGAATAAATGAGTTTGTTGAAAAAGCAGCCAAAACAAGACATGTGAAGTGTCTCAAACTACAATGATGTTTTTAAGAACCCACCCCCTGCTCCTTCCACACACACAGACACAAGTACAATTATGAAGCTAGAATAGGACTGACTGCGAGATGAATTTGAAGGACGTTAGTAGGAAACTGAGACGTGCCTTTCTTTGTAATTGTCTGGTTGTCAGTATCCGTGCGTGTTAAGCTGTTGCTCATGCCGTTTGCCCCAATCTGTGATAGCTGGACTGGAGCTCTTGTGCCACTGTTTGCCCTCAGGTACTTGGACCACGTGTATGTGATGGCCTACGACTACTATGGCTCTTGGTCGCTCACACTGGGACATCAGAGTCCTCTGTACGTGAGAGACGAAGACCGACACGACCCCACGGAATCTCTGCTTTCTCAGGTAAGTCTATAGCACATATATGTTGTGTGACCTACACACGTGTGAAAGATTTTGTCTGTGAATGGCAGGGTTTTGGACAGGTGTTGTGTTGTAGGTAAGTTTTTGTGGCGGTTTTGTAATTAAAGAAGAGACTGGCGGTTTGGAGTGCAGGGTTGGTGGGGTGTGAATAATGAGACGTAGAATGAGGAGTGTGTCTGTTGTGAGAGTGTTGCGAGCCTCCAGACTTGTCCTGAGCATGTCCGTGTTCCTGTTCCGTGTCTCAGAATGCTTCCATGACCTGGTGGCACGAGCTGGGTGTACCCAAGAATAAACTGGTGATGGGAGCTGCCACCTACGGGCGGACCTTCCGGATGTCGGCTGCTGACCAGTGGCATGTTGGAGACCAGTCTCTTGGAGGTGGCGATGTGGGACCATACAGTGCTACACCGGGATTCCTGGCGTACTATGAGGTGAGGGAATAGTCAGGGTATGTTTTATTGTAGGTGTACTGTTCTGTGGTCATAAATGAGCTAATGACGCCATTGGCGCTGTACAGCGAAATTAATTTAATTTGGTTTTAGTGAGCTTTTCTTCTTGGGTGGATTTGTTTTTTTGGTTTTGGATTTGTTCTTTTTTCACTGAAGACTAATACGTACTTTAACAGGATAATCAGCATTCATGCTCTTGATTTTCAGAACACAAAAGTAAAAAAAAAATCAATTTTGTCAGTCCCATCGTCTTCTGCTCCAATGGGTCGTACCATTCACGTTTTCAGCACATTTGCTTGGCATTCTTCATTTGTTTTTTCTTTCTTCCAAGGGCCATCAGCTCTAAACCTCATGGACAACTCACTATTGTTACATTCATCAAACTCATTGTCTCCCCAGATTTGTGACATGATCATGAGCGGCACCTTGAACAGAGTGTGGATGGACGATTCCAGAGTACCTTTTGCCTACGGTCAACGCAACTCGCACTGGGAATGGCTTGCCTACGACGATGTACAGAGCATGACTGAGAAGGTAAGCTCCGCCTGACTCAGAACTATACGTGCAGTAGGTTACGTACGTACCGACTTTCACACACAAACACAGTCCTCACAGTCAACACAGAACACAGGCATAAACAGACACACACACACACACACACACACACACAAACACACACACACACACACACACACACACACACAAATATGCCTGCATACACTCACACACACACACACATGCATACGTACATGCACACTCACACACACACATGCATACATACACACTCACACACATACACACAAACTCACACACACACACACACACACACACACACACACACACATACATACATACATACATACACGCACACACAGTCACATACACACAATGACACACATATTACACACCCAGGCATATTACACATCCGCACCCATGAAGTCAGTTGTTGCTGTGTGATGGCTTCAGCGAGTTCTATAAACAGACTACACTGTGAGCCGTCTTCCCATTGGTCCACGGTGAGTAGAAACAAGACTGTCAAGAAAGATGGTGAGTGAAGGTGAGAAAGAAAACAGAAGATGTGTGTACAGGTGTCCACTCAGGCGTCCCGTCTCTGTTCACAGGCTGCGTACATCGTAGCTGAAGGTTTGGCCGGTGCCATGTTCTGGACTGTGGACTTTGACGACTTTGCAGACCAAGTGTGTGGGGAAGGTCCCTACCCTCTGATCCAAGCTATGAAGGCGGGCCTGTGGAGTCCTGGAAGTCAGCCGCTGACCTTGAGCCCAGCTAACGCGAGCTTGCCATCTCCTCAATCACCCACATGGTCGCCATCTTCTACGTCCAGTAGCACGGACATCATGAGTGGCGGGCACAGCTCAACGGCCACCCCGGGTAGGTCCAAAGTGTGAGAACCTTATCTGGCAAGTTTCAGTGTAGCTCTATCCTGAAGCCAACTGCCAGCCAGATGTAAATTCCTACTCTGAGAGCATCTCTAAACTCTCATAGTAGGTTTGGTTATAGTAGGATCTCTGCCTGGCACCGTGAAAGCGTTATGTTTCTTTCATGGTATTTTACCGTTTTTAGAGAGGTGGCCTGGAAAGTCTTTGAGAGTCATATGCACACTTAACTTAAATGCACAAATACATACATAGATGAGCATAACATGGCAGCAGAAATACTGAAAAGTCAGGAATTATAATGGCTGCTCTAATGAGTTTAAGTCATTTAGCTTTCAGTCATAGAGAAGTGCATGATGGAATGTGTCACACGGGTGCTTCTCGGCCCGAAGTTTCTTTATAGACACACATGTACTGATTCATCAAAGTATTCGGACTATTGCCATCTTCTATCTACGAAAGCTTATGTTGGTTGTCTCTCTACGTGTTTCCTAAAACCGACAAGAAAAAACATTTCCCTGGAGAGTACTAAAGAGAATGCATCAGTAAAGATAATGATAAATGTGTGTACAATCTTGCCAGTAACAGAGTGGGAGCCTTGAAGTTGTGGAAATGTCAATGTTTCGTGCACAGTGTGTAAAATATCTTGTGTTCCTCGCAGGTGTCCATCATAATGAAAGCCATCACGTGATCGCCTGCTACTTTACCAACTGGGCCCAATACAGACCTGGTTTAGGCCTCTACTCAGTGGCTAACATTGACCCCTACCTTTGTACGGACATTGTGTACGCTTTTGCCTACATCGACACAGCCAGTCTGACCCTGACAACCGTAGAGTGGAATGATGCAGGTAGGTGTCTTACGTATTAGCTAAAAGATCATTTCGCTAAGAACATTCACTGGCACAGAAACACACCCACATATAAATTACACACACATTACACACACGCACTCTCTCAGACACATACCAACACACTGACAGGTGCACAGTCTTTCTCTTTCTAATGAATTCTTCCGTTCCCCCCTCCACAAAATACACACACACACACGCACACACACACACACAAATACATACACACGCACACACACACATACACACACATACACACACATACACAAGAAATATTTACACACAAACACACATGCACATCAGCATACACTGGTGTGATGATACTGAGTTTCATCTAGTGTTGCCATCCACAGATCTGTACGCACAAGTAATGGCTCTGAAGTCTGTGAACCCCGAGCTGAAAGTGCACCTTGCAGTGGGAGGTTATTCCATGGGAACCTGGCCATTTGAAAGCATCACAGCCTCAATGAGCAGCATGGAGACGTTTGCTGGGAACGCCGCCTCTTTTCTACGTACTCATGGCTTTGACGGCCTGGATTTGGATTGGGAGTTTCCAGGCGCTTCCTTCAGAAGCCAGTTTTCCCAGCTGTGTGAAGCTCTGTTCCAGCACTTTAGTGTAGAAGCTCAGGCATCTGGCAAGCCCCGCCTGCTCTTGACCGCTGCTGTGTCCGGTTACAAGACAGAGATAGAGGCATCATATGAGCCACAGATCATTCAACAGTAAGTCTTAGTTACTTGATGCTTCGTCTCACTCCATATCCACCAAGACAATATTAGTTTTCATGGTATTGTGTAGAAGAATAAATGAGTTTGTTGAAAAAGCAGCCAAAACAAGACATGTGAAGTGTCTCAAACTACAATGATTTTTTAAAGAACCCACCCCCTGCTCCTTCCACACACACAGACACAAGTACAATTATGAATCTAGAATAGGACTGACTGCGAGATGAATTTGAAGGACGTTAGTAGGAAACTGAGACGTGCCTTTCTTTGTAATTGTCTGGTTGTCAGTATCCGTGCGTGTTAAGCTGTTGCTCATGCCGTTTGCCCCAATCTGTGATAGCTGGACTGGAGCTCTTGTGCCACTGTTTGCCCTCAGGTACTTGGACCACGTGTATGTGATGGCCTACGACTACTATGGCTCTTGGTCGCTCACACTGGGACATCAGAGTCCTCTGTACGTGAGAGACGAAGACCGACACGACCCCACGGAATCTCTGCTTTCTCAGGTAAGTCTATAGCACATATATGTTGTGTGACCTACACACGTGTGAAAGATTTTGTCTGTGAATGGCAGGGTTTTGGACAGGTGTTGTGTTGTAGGTAAGTTTTTGTGGCGGTTTTGTAATTAAAGAAGAGACTGGCGGTTTGGAGTGCAGGGTTGGTGGGGGTGTGAATAATGAGACGTAGAATGAGGAGTGTGTCTGTTGTGAGAGTGTTGCGAGCCTCCAGACTTGTCCTGAGCATGTCCGCGTTCCTGTTCCGTGTCTCAGAATGCTTCCATGACCTGGTGGCACGAGCTTGGTGTACCCAAGAATAAACTGGTGATGGGAGCTGCCACCTACGGGCGGACCTTCCGGATGTCGGCTGCTGACCAGTGGCATGTTGGAAACCAGTCTCTTGGAGGTGGCGATGTGGGACCATACAGTGCTACACCGGGATTCCTGGCGTACTATGAGGTGAGGGAATAGTCAGGATATGTTTTATTGTAGGTGTACTGTTCTGTGGTCATAAATGAGCTAATGACGCCATTGGGTCAGTATAGCGAAATTAATTGAATTTGGTTTTAGTGAGCTTTTCTTCTTGTGTGGATTTGTTTTTTTGGTTTGGATATGTTCTTTTTTCACTGAAGACTAATACGTACTTTAACAGGATAATCAACATTCATGCTCTTGATTTTCAGAACAAGAACACAAAAGTAAAAAAATAATTTTTGTCAGTCCCATCGTCTTCTGCTCCAATGGGTCGTACCATTCACGTTTTCAGCACAATTGCTTGGTATTCTTCATTTGATTTTTCTTTCTTCCAAGGGCCATCAGCTCTAAACCTCATGGACAACTCACTATTGTTACATTCATCAAGCTCATTGTCTCCCCAGATTTGTGACATGATCATGAGCGGCACCTTGAACAGAGTGTGGATGGACGATTCCAGAGTACCTTTTGCCTACGGTCAACGCAACTCGCACTGGGAATGGCTTGCCTACGACGATGTACAGAGCATGACTGAGAAGGTAAGCTCCGCCTGACTCAGAACTATACGTGCAGTAGGTTACGTACGTACCGACTTTCACACACAAACACAGTCCTCACAGTC